ATTTCAGCCGGATCGGCTTAACAGTTTATATAAAAAGCTAATTGCTTATCTCAGAGATGAATTATTTAAAGAACTGTTCTTGCCTAAGACATGGTCCTAGAACATTTTACAAAAGTGAAATGAGTTCTTGAACGTTTCAACTTTAAGAATTTATGCAAAAAATTAATTACCTATTTCAAAATGCTGTTAAAAATGATGTTAAAAAATAGCCATTTTTATAGTTATAAACGTTCACAATATTCGTCATTTTTCAACATAATCTATTTTAACAAGTTGACCTGAATAGATGATTATAAAACGCATATTTTAAAAAACCTTCTGTGACCAGTAGGAGCACAGATCTCAATCTTTTGATCCAATTTATAATTTTACTATTAGTTCAAAGGACTTTAAGAAATATCCACCTAAAATGAAGGTAATCGGTTAAGTATATCCATGCGGGGTGGTGGGGGAATCAGCTCTAGCTCGACTAATTTTTTGAAATTGAGTCTTCAAATCGGAGCGCGCTGTAAAATTTTGCATTATCTCGGCTTGTGAGAAACGTAGAACCTTTTTTTTTTTAATTTGGAGTAACTCGTCGAAATAATGACGTCTGGCACATTTTCATTTTCCTGGAAAATCGGGAAATCTCGGAAAATTTTGATTACTATGAAATAATAGTAAATCAACAATAAATCATTTACTTTCACTCTCACTAATAAAATAATTTATATTAATTCAATTTATATTTCATATTAGTTATAAAATATTTTAAGCAATTCATAATTCAGTTAATTGGTCTACTCTTAACAAAACTACTCTAAAAATATTGATTCACCTTCATTTTGCATCATAAAATTTAATTCGATGGTCGTAAAACAAAAACAAAGGACTTGAACATTTTGAAAAACGGAAGATATAGAGAATTGCAAAAAGTGACCTTTTTAATGCTTGAAATAATCAATGAATGGTGAATGTAACTCCTCTTCCTTATCCTGGGGTTGTTTCACTGATTGATCGATATGTTTTACTGGCCAGCAAACGAATTTGCACACGTGGAATTGACATGTTTACTGACGTTTTAGTCACATCGGTGTGGCACATGGCGATTAATCATAACATCCTCTATACCGCAAACTGGTTTTATACAAATTTTCAGTAGATGCAAAATGAATATCGACAGTGATTTGACTCCATATATCTTTTCTACTTCAGACAATATGATCATGATTTCTGATATCTCTGCGAGCGAACTACCTAGAGTTACGCTAGTTTGTGGGATTGAAGATAATATGCTATACCTTGTTGATTTGAATGCGTTAACTTGAATTTGATTTTTTTTTAAATACGACTGTTTGCGGTATGGACGACGGTAAGAGGTCTCGAACACTTATAAAACTGCTTCAATCCCTTGTATTTAACCATTCAATAAGGTCCTATAGTTTCGACAAAACAGTTTACACAAAAAGAAAACTCTATGAAAGGCTTATCATTTATTGATAGAAAAATTCAATCCCGATGGCCATTGTGCACAGTTCTCGAACCATCGAACGTTGAGGAATGACGACTCAGATGCAGAAAAGTTAACGGTGTGGGTGACGTTACCTGACGCAGTTAGGGTAGACCTTTCTTAATTCAATTAGGCCGTATAATAGCATAAAATATTCCTAAGATGTACACATACTAATTCGCTTAGCTCCTTCGAACCTCTTGATGGGATGTTTGACAATCTACCCCATATTCCATGGAATTAAATTCACTCGCCTGACAAAACTCTCCCGAACGATGTGTACACTTCTGAACTGCCACAGTCTAATTACTTACCAAGTTCGTCAGCAGGTATTTAGGCTGAAATTGGGGATCAACTTATTCAAAAGAGCTACAAGCTTGGGCGTACTTTTGATCATTAATTTCTTTTGTCTAGATGCAGTATTGGATTTTCTAAACAAACAATTTCGTTTATTCACACCTATCTTGAAAATCGGTTTCAAGAGATTCGTCTAAATCAATGACCTAAGCAGCGAACAATAACATTAATAAAGGTCTTGCATACATTGAAAAGCTGAGTAGTAGTCATGATCTGTGTTTCAGTCCTTTAAAGACAAATACAGGGTGGCGCATCGAAAACGAAACAGGCGCATTTACTGGCAGCTCAGTTTTTGTTTTGGAAAAACGCTCAGACCCGTCGATTTTGTTTTCGAGGGGGACACAAGTTTGGCAAAAAATCACGTTAGCACGTGCAGCCCCCTAAGCGCGAGTGAGACCACCCCCAAACTCTTAATGCGTAATGCGTAATGTGGTGGGGCACCATCCTGTTGGAACATCAACCTATTCGCAATGTACCGCCGATCATTCTGATTTTCAATTATGGCTGTTAATGCAGGATCTATGACATCTTCCAGTAATTCCAAATACATTTCACCGGTCAAATTTCCAGGTAAGAAAAAAAAAGGACCAACTAAATGATCGCCAAAAGTACCAGGCCAAACATTTATTTTTTGTGGCTGCTGTGTATGAACCTCATGATAAATTCTGGGATTAGAATCGGACCAACATCGGCAGTTATGATGATTTCCAACGCCATTTAAGAAAAAGGAACATTCGTCGGAAAAGCAAGTGTTGAATAGAAGATGTTCATCGTTTATAATTCGTTCACTCATATCTTCACAAAATTGTAATCGCCGACCAAAATCGTCTTCATTAAGTTCTTGTACCAGGTGAATTTTATACGGATGAAAACTATGGGCCTTTAGAATCCGTTGGACAGTACGTCGACTAATACCACACACAGCCTCCAATTTGCGGGTACTAACGTAGGATCTACATAAACTTGCCCTAAAACCCCCACTTCTATTGCTTCGTTCCTTATGGGATTTTCAATGTTGCGTTTTTTATTGGCCACTGACCCAGTTTCCCGAAATTTAGCTACATGTTCTGGAACATATTTTCGATGCACGTTACTGTTCTCGTGTCGCTCATTAAACATTTCTGCTGTTCTATTAGCGCACTGATTATTTCCAAAAAATGTTTCGATAATTTCAACCCTTTCTGGTGAGGAGTTTGGTCAAATCAATCGCAAACCATGTACTAAATTCCTATTTAAAATCAGCACGAGATATTTCCTTACCTTTCTTCAAGTAATAACTTTTTTGCCACAAAAAAACGCTCAAATAGATATTTTCAACAACAGAATGATAAACAAACCATGGGCGTAGTGAAGAAAAACATTTACTTATTAAGTAAATTCTTTTAGTCAAATTTCTTCTGAAAGTAGTACAAACTAATCTGATGTACCTATTAAAGTCTACTTTAAGCTTTAAATCAATAAATCTTCAAAACTACTAAACTGAAGCTCATGTATTTTACATCATTATAAAGGGAATTGGAATGGAAGACCTTTAAAATAAGGTATCACTCGATCCCCCTTTCCATTTAAGATTTTAGGGTTGGTGTCACCCCCGCCCAGGGAGCTGCACGTGTTAACAAACAAACAAACACACAAAATCGACTGTTCTGAGCGTTTTTCCAAAAAAAACTGAGCTGCCAGTAAATGCGTCTGTTTCGTTTTCGATACGCCACCCTGGATATCAGTATATTCTAATAAAACAATAAGGAATGCTTTAAGAAATGACATAATACGTAATAAAGTAGTTTCTCCTCATCATTCTAAGAACCGTATTATAATGGATGATGATTCAAAATTTGTGGAACACGTAAACTATGTAGTTTTTCAGTGTCATGGTATTCTCAGAGATTTATTTGCAAATAAGGCTATATTATTATGAATCTTTCTTATTTTAAAAAATATCGTAGTGCTTAGTGAGTTGCTATCGCTATTTAGATATTATAACAATAGATCGTGGTCAAAGTATTATGCCTGATCCTGCAGGCTCGTAAATGGTTATAGAAAATACAATCATATATTTTAGCCATTAAAGACAATAACAGGATGAAAATTGATGAAATGATTGGATGCAAACCTATAGGAAGTATACAGTGTGAGTCTTCATAAAGTGCACATAGCAAAATCAAGGAAACTACACCTTATTTTATTGCCGGAAAAATTATCAAAAAAAATTAAAAACAATAATTGATTTTTTATGAATATTTTAAAATTTTTAGAGTCAGCTGCTAACCCTATTTAAATAAATCGTTACAACTTTTAAACTGAATGTCCTATCATATTGGAATAAATTTTGTAGTGATTGCAAGTAATAGGCCGTACCAGTAAAGTGAAAATTTCCACGAAATTAAATGCTATAAATTTAAAATAAAGAGGAATATGCTGGAACTCACTATTTTTTCAATGATTTTTAAAACAATTGCTAAATTTCAATAAAAATTGTCCTATTTACCCTACCTTTTTTAAATGTTAAGTTATTCTACATGTTACTAGCTTCCTAATGGTGAAAAATTGCAAGTTTATTACTTAGATACAAGTTTTTAAATCAGCGTTTCAAAAAGCAGTGAAATCAGTTCAACGCCAGAGTAGGAATAAAACAACAGTATTAACCTACATGAATCATTCATTATTTTTAACAAATAAAATCAAATAGACTTCTCTATAGGATAATCATTTTGGCTTAATGCATCAAATGTTCAAAATGGCCACCCCGTTGCTGCAAACACATTGTAGCGCGAAGTGAAATTTGATGAGTTGCCCTACGAATCATCTCGGGATCATTTTTGATTTCGTTTGCAACATGCAAAACTCTTTCTTCAAGTTCCGCTTCGCTGTTTATGGAACTGCTGTACACCCTTTGTTTCATTGTCCCCCATAAAAAATAGTCGAGAGGTGTGAGATCTGGGGAACGCGCTGGCCACCCAACAGGCCCTTGTCGACCGATCCAGCGGCCTGGATAATTTTCATTAAGAAAAGACCTGACAATCAGCGAGTAATGGGCGGGACATCCATCCATTTGAAGCATCATTCTTCGACGGGTTTGCAGCGGCACTTCTTCCAACAGCAAGGGCAGTTCAGTCTGCAAAAGCTCCAGAAATCTCTCTCTCCGTTAAATGTCCTCGGAAGTATTATTGGACCAATCAAAAAGTTGTCAATCAGTACGGCCTACACATTTGCAGAAAATTTCACTTGAAATGTTGAAGCCCTTTTCAGCCTAGGGTTTTCATCTTTTGGGCACCACTTATGTAAATTACGACAGTTCACGATGCCGTCTCTCGTGAATTGAGATTCATCTGTCCACAGAATTGTTTTCGGGAATTCAGGATTGTCTCTTGCTTTATTAAAATCCATGTAGACATAACGCCCCTTGGATGCCAATCCACATCTTCCCTTTGATAATGGTATGGATGCAACCCTGCTTTCCTCAAGATGCGCCAAACCGATTTCTGGGATACGCCATGACGTAACGCCAAACGTCTCGTACTAGTAGTCGGGTCAGCAAACAAATCATCCAAAATGGCTTCTTCGATAGCAACATGAATAATAACACCTGGTTCGCGGCGATCTCGAGGCAAACCAAGACCGGTGTTAGCCAGTCTTCTATGTACTTCTTGGAAGTTACGGGCTGATGGAACAGGGCGTCGATTTGGAAATGCAGCTAGATAAGCTGTGCAAGCAGCTCTACCACTCCCTCGGTACATTCCATAATAATAATGGATATCGGCAATGTGTGCCGGAGGGAAATCACTTATACGTGGCATCGCGACCAAAAAGCGAAAGCGTGATATGTAGCAAACGAAACTGATAAAGTTGGCAGGAGAAACAAAAATAGCTGCCTAACTGCCCAACATTCAATTGTTTCTCAACTGGACCCGCCTCCCCGCTCGTACTTCAGCCCGCGCGACTCTACATTGAATCACCAAAAAAAGCTATCTACATGATAAACAATGGTGCCTAGCAAGACGATGCGCATGGGCTTTTTTATAAGCACTCATAGAAACTGTTACATTTGAGTAATAAACGTGCAATTTTTACTTTTATAAAGCGGATAATATGTAGAATAACTTACAAATAAAAAAAGGTAGGGTACAAGGGACGATATTTATAGAAAATTTGAAATTATTGTAAAAATGATGAAAAAAAAACAGATTTTCATCAAAGTTTTCTTTATTCTAAATGGATGTCATTACTTTTTCTGGAATTCTTCACTTTTCAGGCACGTCCTTTTACCAGCAATCACTACAAAATGTATTCATTCCAATATGATAGGACATTTAGTTTAAAAGTTGTAACGAGTTATTTCAATATGGTTAGAAGCTTCTACTAAAAACTTTAAAATATTCATATATTCATAAAAAATCAAATTCATTTTTTTTGATGATTTATCCGTCGATGAAATAGAGTGTAGTTTCCCTGGTTTTGATATGTGCACTTTATGAAGACTCACACTGTATATGGTAGAGGCTTTTTCAATCCCACCTTGCGGTACATCTGTATTTCAGAACACATAAATGAAATCAAATTATATAATTCCTTACCATAGCTTGAAAGAAACTAAACCATTAGCCAAACTCAATGAAAAATTTAAAGAAACTACTTGGACATCAACGAGATCATTTGTAACCAATAACCGATAACTGACCTTATGTTATGTTTATGCCTTAAAATTAGTTATGCCTTATTATTGGCGTTATTATATACAGATTTTATACATCTAGTATTGTTAAGAGGATTAGGTGGTGGAATAGATGTACTATTTGGGCAAGTTGAACGTTGCTCTCATGCGCGGTCTAAGACAAGCTAGTCGTTACATGCTTCTTGGTTTATACCTGGTGCTTAACTAGTTCGTCATCCATTTAAAGTATTTTGTAAAAAAACCTACTTCAAAAAACGACATTGCATGCAAATCTGGAGTATCTCACGTAGTGAGAAAAAAAAAGCCGTTCTACCTTCGAATCTAAACTAATACGTCGTTGAAAAGCTTAAGCCGTGTAAGACGAATAGCTAAGTCGCCGTAACTTACTTGGTTATGTTGCTCTTTAAAATAACATTTCTACTTTCCACGCCAAACGACCAGATTGTAATCACCAAAAATTTCGAAAGTCAGATATTTCTCCCCTGAGAAAAACTCTTGCGAGCGCATATGATCGAAACTATGTGTACAGGCGTGGATGACGGTCGGTCCACACCCAGTCGAGCAGAAACATATGATCGACTCGCGAGGGTCGGAAATATTTCTCCCAACTTTTAGGAATAAACGTACCGAGAAATATACATATAATCAAATCCAAGAGAATAACCAGCATTTCTGTGTATGTACTGTGGTTATAATATGGTTCAAGATGACACACGGGTTGATGACGTCAGTTACTCGAATCGTTTGATCGCGTTGCTTTTAACCACGGTTTTGTTGCAAAATTTTCATTTTAGGAAAGAGCGTATATAATTTCTAATTATGTTTATTATCACTTAATAATCGGTGCTTTTTTGTCTACAACAATGTATGGAAAATTTAAAAAATAAACCTTTCATAAAATTAATGGGAGAAATGTTTTTTTTTTCAGAAAGTAATTTTTAGTGATGGAACCATGGCTTTGCAGATATGATAAATTTCAATTCTCTAAACTTTTCCGCATGTAAGAAAAACATTTATTGATTTAGCAGAAATAAGGAAGGAGGACAAAGCGATGACAAAAGATATTAGCAAAAGCGTATACAGGTGGACATTATCCAGTGTGTTTGTATGACGATATTTTAATATTCTTGTGGTATATGGCTAAACAGGATACAGAAGTATAGGAACTAGATTTAAAGTCTCCCCAGCAACAGTAATGAGAACAACTAATAAGGTGCTACAAATGAAATCATCCTCACACAATTTTGCGGTGATAACTACTTATGACATATAACAGATGATTCATGACTTCACGGATCTCATAACCAAACTGATAACCACACTCGCTTGAACAGATCGGAAAATACCAATACAAAATAGTAAATGCCATTTTCATTTGATTTATGTTTAGTAAAATAAGTGTAAAATGTACTTAGAATTGCCACGCCTGGAGGCGTATAAATCTACTACTGTCATAAGATAGACATAATCCCTCCATCTCTCCCCACCAGGTACAACTCCGCTACCCCTTCTTTTTCACTTCTTAATTCTTTTTAAAGAATGATCAGGATCCTCTGAAACGTCAAATTACGAAGTTTGAGCGATTCTTGACATTGTGGTGACCTTTGTGAAAATTTCATCAAAATCCAATCGATACTTTCCAAATTATGGAGGTGTTAAGGACTAGCCGACAGTCAGCCAGACAGACAGACCGACGGAAATACCACATAACACCCAAAAACCATAAAATCTTTCGATATTTTTCGCGATTACAGTAAGAAGACAGACGTAAAATATCCGCATCATATAATATGTTTGTTAGCACCCGGTATTCCGTTGATATTCCATGTGCATTTGACAATCACAAGAAATGAATAAATGTAGGTAATAGCTCAGTAAAATCCCGTTGTCTCGAACTCGAACATCCATTAGCTGTAACCGTTTCTGCTGAAGAGTGTTCGTAACCAATATAAAACTTATTAATTGTGTACATGAAAATAAAGACATTCTTCAATTACCCGTGGACTCAGAGATATTATACTCCCACCTACAAAATGAGTTAAATTTAGACAAATGGAAAACCAAACACCGTTTTCTGAAAGTGACCACTTTCTTTTACCTATTACTCAAAATGTATGATTTACTTAGTTTAAACTTTCACATTGTCATGGTGCTGATTCATTGAAGACGGACCATCCCACAAGTTTCGCGACAAGTAAACCCATTATCCACGATTCGCATATTTGAAGAATGATTCAGCGTTTTACTTCTTTCCTGATGGTGAAAAAATATTTTTACGATTGGTAACTGTAAAGATCGCGTGTGCTCCTGTTTGTTGCAATACATGACTTTGCGTATGTTCATTAATTAGCACGCGAATTCTCTTTGAATAAATGGCAAACCTGTATGTACCCAGATGCAAAAAACGAATAATACCTCTACAAGGCTTAGAAAATCTATTACTGCCATGAGCACTTCACTATTACGTCCCATGCACCATGTGAATCATTTCCACCGGAGTGTCTCTGCCCGCTAATCCTTATCCAATATATTGTCTTCGTTGATATTTATAATCAGTAATTATAGCATTTAGATTAAAGGTAACTAATTATTTCTTTTCTTCCTCCGATAACGGGTTTGTAAAGAATTAGGTATACCTCCTCCTAGACGTCTTTTGCCGCCTTATCTGAATATAACTTTCAGCTTAATCAATAAAAGGAGCTGTGAGATGTCCCTCTGTTTCAATTCTAATACCATACGGCAGAAAGGAATTTTTCGAAAGACATTGCCGGTAAGCCGACTGAACACACAAGATGCCGGCGCCAGCTAAGTAAGCCATTGAAACGTCTATACCCCATTCGTAGTCCACTTACACCCAGGTAAAACACAACATGCTCAAAAGCGAGATTGTACAGGTCCGTATTTTCTTCAGTGGTTTTGGAATCATCAATTAATTTTAATACATCCCACATCTATGTTTCGATTGTCTCTTGAACGTGACGGATGCAATCTTTCCAAGGGTTTGCCGTTACTCTGTTGACAGCTTCATAAAACAAATTTCTAACGTCAGAAAATTTTAATGTTCTATTGTTTGAAGCCACGTAGTTATTTATATTTGCTCAAATTATTTCAACGGGATCTAATTTGCAGTGATAAGGGGGTAGCCTTAAAGCGGTCTTATTTTGGTTTTTAGTCATTTCGTCAATAACATTAAGATTATATTTATATTTGTGATGCCTGACTAGATTTTATGGACATTGTGGGAATTTTTTCTAGTTTTCTAGTGTGGTATGCAGCATCACCAAGTACAATGACGGCATTGTCGTCAAGCTTTGTGAGCGTTTCTTCAAACCGTCGTTCAAATGAACTCATGTCCATTTCTATATGGTAGTTGGTCATTTTCTTTGACTCAAATGCCCTTAGGGCAGTGGTCACAAAGGCATCTTCACTGCAAATGTGACAGATAACAAATAGTTTTCCTTTTTTTCCTGGAAATAATTATTTCATGTAGTATTCAGGAAAACTAACAATAATGCAAGCAGAGTATCTAACAGGTGTTGGTTCCAAGTCTAGCAGATATAGCTAAGTTTAGTGTAGCCAAGTTTTCAGCATGGGCTCATAGTCTACTTGACGCTATTTTTACAACACAAATGACGGATTCTTTAGACCAGTGGTTAGTCCATCTAAGAAGGCTAGTCCTGCTGATTTGATTGTAGAGTCAGCCCATACTTTAAGTTTTGTATGTCCTGCATTTATCCAGGTTTCATCCAAATAATAAATCTTCCTGCCCTGGTCACCGTATTTCTTTAATGATTTTATATAATTTCTTCTCCATAAAATATTCTCTTGGCTGTCCATCAAAATAC